AGCAGCCCCCAACCAGCCCCAGTCACACGGGTGGGGGCCATGCAAACCCTACACAGTGAGACGTTTTCCAGGGGTTTCCCCTTCCTGTGTCTGTGAAAATGCCTTCCAGCCATGGGAAAGAGCCCACGGCTGACTGCCCATGTGCAGATGTCTGGCACATGTGTGGCCCCTTTGCCACTTGGAGGGTTGGCCCTTCTTGCTGTTGTCACGTCCTGTGCTTGTGTAAAACTCAGAGTTAATTTGGTGATTATTAAGTGCAGGAACTTGGGGCTGGTAGGGGTTTTTTGTCTGCACAGTTTTGCAAAGTGCCATTTTTAGAAATGCGTAAACCTTTTTCCTGCCAATAAGGAGAGTAGGAAAGTGGAGAAACACCAAACTGATTTAATATGGAGATGGAGGTGCTCTCAATGGCATTAATCTTCTAAACAATTCTGTGACTTTGGAGCTTTTATTAGCCTCATGGTACAAATGAGAAACTGAGGCTCAGAAGTTGAGCGATCTGCCAAGGTCCCCCAGAGGACACCTGGGAGCTGGGATTGCAGTCCAGGCTTGCCCAGCCTTCTCAAGGCTGCCATCCTTCCCTGATCGGGTGCTTTCCTAAGCGTGGCCCGGAAGTCAGGAAGTCTGGTCGCACATCCACCAGCTGTGCAACGTGGGGCAAGCCTCATCTCTCGTGGCCTCAGTCTGCCCATCTGCAAAACGAAGTTAATGAACTGTTTGGCGATTTGCTCATTTTCTCAAAAAGGATCCCCTTTCTCTAGAAGCCAGTATCTGTGACACAGACGTGGAGCTGTGAGGGCCCCAGTGCTCTGCGGTCCTGTCTCCCTGTGCCCTGATGTGGCCCTCGGGGCACCCAGCTCCGGCAGCTGAACAAGAACCAGTGCCCGCCGCCCCCTGAGGGCCTTGGACCCACCTTCCGTGCCCCCAGTCCTGCTGCAGGAGTCGTCCCCCGACTCTGCATGCATCTCGGCAGTGCGTTGCCCTTGGCCCCCTGCCAGACCCTTGTGTGCTTTGGAAAGGTCCCTCGACTTTTGTTAGGCAAAGAGTTCTCTTCACGCCAAGCTGAGAGCGAGGTGGTTTCACAAGTCCCGTCCTGAGTGTGTGCTGGCCGGAACATACACCACAGAAACAAAATGTTTGTTTTCCAATTGTGAGAGTGCCGGGAGGCCCTTTGGCATCGGCCTCCACACCTTCTGTGTTCGGGCAGGCCATCTGCCACCCGGGGGCCTGGTGCAGAAACAACGGGCGCCACAATGTGGCCTGTGGGGTGCGAGCAGAGGGGGGCCTCCAGGCCACTGGATTGGCCGCCTCTCAGAGGACGATGTGCAGGGCTCTGGGCCACCAAGGTCTGCTCTTGCCCACAGCACCCTGGGGACCTCAGGGCTGTGCAGACACACCGGCGGAGTCAGGTGGGGCTGACCGGCTGGGCCCGACCGGCTGGGCCCTTCCTTCCTGTCCCCAGGCTGCACTGGGTACCTACTGTGAGCTGGCCCCTGAGCCAGGCAGTGGGGTGTAGGGTCAGGGCTGTGGGCAAGGGCTCGGGGCTGGCTTCTACAGGGGAGAATGCAAAACTGGGTTCTAGTGGGAGAGAAGGGGCCTGCCAGGTGTACAGGGATTCAGTAAACATGCGCGGCCTCCGCAGCAGTGAGTTGAGGAGATGGTGGCGCAGGAAGGTGGGGACTTCCTAGGAATTGCCCAGGGCCATCCTCCACCCCACAGATATTTCCTGCCCCCTGGACTGTTGGATCCTACAACCTGTGATCTTGAAAGAGCCTGCAGTATCCAGTGCCAATCAGGGTGCTCCCTGAGACCCCGAGGCTCCCCAAGGCAACTCCGTTTCCTATTGTCAGGTCTCAGCAGCCGGCAGCTGTTCCCCTTATTCCTGAGGGTAGGGACGCAGTCCAGGCTCAAAGGGCTGCCTCTTCTGGGACCCAAAGGTAAGCATGTCCCAGAAACAGGCCAGGCCTTGACACAGGCCTGGGTGACCAGCTGACCTGCCCCATGCAGGAAGTGGAGCTGGGCTGTGGCAGGAACATGGTGATGAGATGCCCAGAACGAAGGGCTGGCCTCCAGCAGGACCAGTGAGGTCATCTCCAGCACCTGCCAGACCCAACGCCGACCCACAGCTCTGGCCCAGGACCTCTTGGGCCCCGGGGCTTCCTGTGAGAGAGTGCAGCCCCCATGCAAAATTCACATTTATCAAAGATGGATTAAAGATAGGCCCAAAATATGCTGGTGCCTTTTTCCTCTTTTCTGACATAGTTAGGGGGGGGAAAAAAAAAACCTCCCCAGGAAACCACATGCCCTGCCGTCTCTGTGCCAGCTTTCAGCATAAGCGAGACTTAGAAAATTTCCAGGCCGCTAGCCATTCTCATGGCCTGGTGTTTTCTTGATTCTTGGAGAATTCCGTCTCGTGAAAGCGTCTCGGGGAGGAAGTGCCTCGCTCAGCCAGATCCCTGGGCCCGGCGGCTTCCAGCAGAGCGGCCTCAGGCTCCAGGAAGCGTAGGCCAGGCTGGGTACCTGGTCTGCTAACCCTGACTTGTTGGGTGGGCTTATTTATACCCATCTTTCTAGAGGGATTTGGGTATCTCCTAAAAATCTGTAACACAAAGAGATCTGTAAAATGGGAAAAGCCAAGGTGCCTTGGGGAGGCATGTTTCGTCCCAGGACAAAGCTGAGAGCAAGTCTCACGTGGGCCTTACACCGAGGACACGAACTGATCAAGGACAGGTGTCCTCCTGCCCCCCCAGCCAGTGTGAGGCAGGCTGGCTCTGACAGCTGGACCCTGATGGGACCCCATGGCTGGCCTCTGACCTGTGCCTGGCGCTACTGTTCTGGGTGGAACAGCAGTACTGGCGAGCAGAGCAGTCGTGTGATTTCACCTGCCGTCATGGGTCACTCCTTAGAAGCAGAGCGTGAGGTGGGGACTCTGGTCCCCGGGATGGACGGGGGAGGCTCACAGAGAAACCTGGCGGGTGGCGGGAGAAGCAGCCAGGACGGGGAAGCCCTGAGCCGGACCCGCGGGGAGCTCCGCGGTGCGAAGAGCAGCTGGGAGCTGCTCCCCTGAGGCCCCCGGCCTGGTCTTCTGGCTTCTCGTATCAGCCTGTCCCCGGCCGTGGGCTGTCCCCTGCCCTCCCCTCACTTTGTCTCTGTCTCCAGGGGCCTCCCATCCAGGAGGGTGTAGGAGCAAATATCTGCACAGAAAGGCTGCTGCTCCTGGCTGGAAAGCCCCAGGGAGACTGGGGGGTGGGGGGGCGCTGACATGTGGCTGCCTACAGCTGAGGTCTGTGGGGTCTGATGGGAGCAACCAGACTTCTAGGGCCTCCATTTCTAAGTTGTCCCGGTCTCCAGCCACTAGCCTGAGGCCGCTTGATGGTTCCTTCTGAGCTCTGTTACCTGGGCAGGCCTTTTCCCAAGTAGACGGCCCATCCCTGGGCCAGGGCTGGGTCTCAAGGGAACAGTGTTTGGGGCAGGGGACTGTTTGTCCTGTAACAGCCATTTCACCCAGAATGATGTGTTCGTGTGGCGCTTTGAACTTGTTAGCAGCTTTGCAGCTTTCCCCAGACATGTTTGAGGGCACACAGGCCTCCAGGCCTCCATCGGGCCCATGCAGCATTCCTCGGTGGGAGCTGAGCTTCTGGGGAGCGTGAGCTCCAGGAGGGGCTGGGAGGGACCCTGCGCAGGGCGTGGCAGACATGGGGCAGCTGCAGGGCCTGGGGTAGGCTGTGCCCTGGATGTCAGCGTGGGGTGGGCTCACCCAGGGATGAAGTCTGGGCAGGACACACTGCTCCATTGTGGCCGTCACATCCCTCCATGGCGGGTGGGGTGTGCCACCAGCTGGGGCATTCAGTGGGCGGGTCTTGGTTTTCACTGTGGCTGAGTTTTGAGTCAACAAAGTTTTAATAAGCTTTACATGTAGGACTGGCTGTTTAAGTCATGGGCCCAATGCAAAACCAAAATGTGGGTCCCTTTTAAAAAAACTATTAAGAATTTCAGGATGGCAACAGCAGAGCAGAAACGCAAGCGTAGGGCCCTTGTAAGCACACTCATGGGGCCAGCCCTATAGGCCGGAGCTCTTGACAGCCGTTCTCTCCCAATGGGGCCTCACAGGGCCCACTTCTGGCCTCTTATAGGTGAGGCAGCTGAGGCCCAGGAAGCCTCCTGGCTGGTGAGCCCAGCCACTCCAGCTGCCCTGAGGCATCTGCCGCCTGAGTGCCTGTTGAAGGCCCAGGAGGCTTCTCCCCCTAGAGAGTCCGCATCTCCAGGCTGGGCCCCGGGCTCTCGTGGAAACCAGCTCCCTGGATGGCTGCAGACGTCAGCTCAGCCTTCCCGGCCCCGTCTCCCCTCCCTGGTCGCGGTGAGTGGGTGGGCATCATACCCCTTTGTGCAGAGTGCAGCCTGGCGAGGCTTCCGTTTGCGTCAGCGGACTCACTAGGCAATGTTCTCTAAGAGCTCAAGAGCCTTCCTTGTCTGGAAGGGCACGCATTTGGCACCATCGTCATGGGGGACTTGGGACCCGCTTCTCAGTTGAACAGTGTGACGAGGAACATTCACGTTGCTGAATTTTTCTGTGCGTCCTAAGTTGTTTCCTTCAGATAAAAAACCCAAAAGTGCAGTTGCCTGAGGGCATGGGTACCTTTTCACCAGATCGCCCTTCAGAAAGGTGGGAATGAGGCTCTGAGCCCCCCCCCCCACCACCGCCCCAAAGTGGGTATTAATTAGCAAGCTGTGCTCTTTGCCACTTTGTAGGTGAATAACTGAATTTTGCATTTCTTTATTAAACAGTATTCGTTGGCCGGAAGTATTTCTTTATGAGTGAGTGGTCGCTGGCCACTTACCCAGACGGTGGAGGAGTCTGGGATTTGGGTGGTCTTCCAACGCCTGGAGGGCCCATCTCCAGATAGCCCCAGTGGCCCTGGCCTGGCTTGGTGGGGCGTCTGGTTCTTGGGTTCCGGGAAGGGGGCGTGCCCCTGAGTGACATGTGTGTCTGTCTCCCACAGAACTGTCAGACCTTCAGCAGCCTCAGCTGCCTGAGCGCGGGGATGGAGGACTGCGGCCCCCACAGCCCCTTCACCTTCCACGTCAGCAGCACCCGGTCCTGGACCGCACTGCTGTCGGCCTCAGCCTCCAGCCCCGGGGGCAGGACCCCCGCCGGGACGCCAGTCCCTGAGCCTCTCCCCACATCCTTCGATGACCACCTCACCTGCAAGGAGGAGCTGTGCTGTGAGGAGTCAGATGGCTGTGCCCCGGACGAGGTCTGCGGCAGGAATGGGGAGCCGGCCATGGCCTGGCGGGACCGCGGGGCTCCCGGGAACAGCCCTTGCTCCCTGGACGGCGAATTGGACATTGAACAGATAGAGAACAACTAAGGGCGGGGCACAGGCCCCCGGTCAGGGGTGGGGATGCATTAGGATCAACAGCCTTCCTCTAGGCACTAGGTGGGCACTTGAAGGGGGGAGCCCCACCCCTGGGCCTGACAGAAGCTTCCTGGAAGGTGTTGGGTCCCAGGGAGTGAGCCCACCCACCTCCTGGAGAGGCCCAGGCTGCGGGGGCCTTGGCCGACCTGGCCACACCACGCAGTGGAACCCTCAGCCGCTCACCAGCACAGCAGCCACGGTCCCCAGAACTGCTGGAGCCGCTAGAGCAGCTGCTCGGTTTGGGTCTCTCTCCCCGCTTTCCTCGTGGGACATCAGCCACCAGCATCCAGGTCACCCCCGCTGGGCAGTCTCACAGCTCCGCTCTGCATGCTCTCAGGGGGACCTGGGCTCAGGTCCATCCTGTGGCGGCACGGCCTTTCTTGGCCTCCTGCTCAGGTTCAGTTTTGGGGAGTCGGCCCCACTGTTTCTTTCACTCAGTTTTATTCTGTGCCTTCTCTCCCAGGTCTCCCTGCTCCAGGCTTGGGAAGGTTCAGGAGATGCTTCCTTCTGTAGTGACACCAGAACCATTTGGCCTTAATTCCAAGTGTGAAAGACAGAGGCCCAGGGGTGCTGGGGCGGCCCTCCACGTCTGAACTCTCAGGGCCCAGAGAACAACTTGGGGTGCTTGGTAGAGGACATCTTCATTGGGTAGACATTTGGTGGATCTGTTGGCCGAAAAGACAGACCCACTTAACCTCTGCCATGCACAGAGAGCCTGACCCCGTGGCTCTCTGCCACTCCGGGGGCCGCTTTGGCAGCGTTGGCAGCTGGCAGCCATTCCCTGTGGCTCACCTGTCACTAAGTGATGAGTTAGTTGATTCAGGTGACTGGAGAGATGTCACCATAAAAGGGCAACCTCTTGAAGATGTCCTCAGGAGGGAGGAGCCATGAGCAGTTACACAAACCCAAGTCCCGTGCATATTTCAGGGGTGGAGGATGTCTGCTGGCCGCTCTGGGCGGGGCCTGGATCAAGGATCTGAAGGCCCCTGCAGTGTTCATTGGTGGTGGGGACGCTGGCTTTAATCAAGGTGCCGCGTTGGCCTCGGGACTAGCCCACCTGCCAGTCAGCTGGGGGAGCAGAGCGTTTTCAGTGCTGCCTCCTTGCTGCGGCCCCACCTGGAGGCACACTGGCACCCTCCCAGTTCCTCGCACCCCGCAGACTCCCTGGTGGCGGTGGTGACAAGGATCCCTGCCCCCCAAGGTCTCGCTCTCAGCGGCTCCCGTCCAGCCTGGCTGCAGACACGTGCCCTGGGCGCTGCTCTCTTGGAATTGGGCTTTTAGCAAGCTCCGCATCTTCTGCAGACAATAGCAATTGGGTCGGCTTATGAGCAAGTGGCTCCTTTTCCCAAAAGGCTAAAAATAACTGGTGCGCTCTCTGGAGTTTGCTGACACGTGAAAAGGCACTTTCGTAGTCACGCTGCTTCTGCTCATCTTGTTAACAGCAAATGCCTCATTGCTTTTCCCCTAAAGAGAGACCCAATTGGGAAGCTTTACTTAAACCTTCACTTTTTTATATCATAAGTGTGGTGTCTCAGGTCCTGATTTATAGGTGGCTTTTCCTACAAGTCAGCCATAAGGTTCTTGCAGAAAACCCCAAGTCAGTGGCCTCGGAGATGGTATCGAAGCCTCTGGTTGGGAAGCACATGGGTGTGCGGGCGCTGGGCAGGGCCTGGGGTGTGAACCAGCTTCGCCTCTGGTTCCCCCTGGAGAGCCAAACCACAGAGCTGGTGGCTCTGGTAGACGATCTCGCCCAATCCCCACCTGGTGGGTTGGGGAGGCCATGTCTTCTTAGAGGTGACCGGAGGAGGCGGGGGCTGTCATTGGGTGACATCTGGCAGAGTATGAATTGAGTGCTTCATGTCCTCAGAAAGCCTGGGGTGGGAGGTACTGGCATCTGGCCCACACCCAGAGGGGCCACAGAGGGACCACGGCCCGTGAAACAGTCCTTCCTCCGCCAGGAGAGGCAAGGCCCCATCTCCTGGTCCACACCGCAGTGAGGGGTGGGGATTTGAGCTAGGACGGGCCTGGACAGCAGCCCCCATATGCCTTTCCTCAGAGCCAGGAGGGGATGCACATGGGGGTGGGTGTCCCAGGTGACCTGCCCGCAGACCCTGCCGGCCACCTACCCCTAAGCTGGTCCTACTGACCCGCAAGCACAGCCTTGGGGCCCTTTCAGGCTGAAGGGATCCTGGTCCAAGGCAGGGTCTGGCCCTTCCCAGTCGCCTCAGGCCGCTCTTGACTGTCCTCCCCCTGGCGGATCTCCTAGCTCAAACCCACAGCATCAGCAACGAGGGGAGAGAATGGCCGATGTCCTTTGTGCTCGGAGAAGAAGGCCTTCAGCTGACTTCACATTGGTCCTGATGGGAGTGTGCAGACTCCACGTAGAAGTACCGCCACCCCGCTGGCCCCAGGTCTTCTGGTCTTAGAGCTCTTGAACGGAGGGAGGCTCAACCCAGCAGGTCCCCCCCCCATGCTTCTGTCCCCAGGGGCAGTAGGTGGGCCGGCGGACTCACCCCACAAAAGCCTTACTTTTGTCGGGGCCCTGCCTTTTGCAGCTGATGCCCATGAAGTCCTGCCTGTGAAGGGAGACTGAGGGAGAGCTGGGCCAGACCACTGCCTTTGGGGGGTGGGGGGGCCTGAAGGACAAGAGCAGGATCGTGGCTCCAGGAGAGCTGGGTGGGGAGGAGAGGCGCACTGTCACATGGCATCCCCGCCCACTCCTAAGGCGCGCCCTCTAAAGCCGCTGTCTGCCGTGGGGGCCGGGCCCCACTGTTCACAGTGCCGCAAACCCTCTTGCCTTACTCGCAGTGGAGGCGGGGCCCGGCCCAGGGCCCACAGGCACACGCGACACCCGGGCCACAGGGGAGCCTGCTCCGACCACGTATACGGAGTTTCATTCTCAGAAAGCCTTACTTTTCAACAAAATTTTTGTAGCAGGAAAGTTTTGTGAATTTGTACTCTGAAAGAAAATTTCAATAAAGGAAAGCTCGCATTATATTAAAAAAAAAAAAAAGAAAGAAAACCCAAACTTCCAAGTGGGTCTCCCCATGCGGGTGGCGTGTGGGTCCCCAGGTCCGGCTGACGCTGCCCGAGGGGGCGTTCAGGGCACCGCCTGTCTGAGCGGCGTTTCGAGCACACTGGATGCCCTGCTGCGTCTCCGTGTCGGCGCACGAGGTTGAAGTGATGCCCTCTGGCCTCGGGGCCGGTCACCTAAGTGATGACCGCTTCTGGCTCTGCGCCTGGAGCGTGAGCGGTCCCTTCAAACACCAGGGCTGGGCAGCCTGGCAGGTGCCGCCCAGACTCTGCTCCCACAGAGGCAGTGGGGCCGCCTCTTCCTACAGCCACACAGGTGGTCAAACCCCTCCCACTGGTGCCAGTCACAGGAAACCATTGCCTCTTTAAAGAGAAAAGAAAAAGATTAAAAAAAAAAAATCCCAGACCGCAGCAGAGACCTTGTAGCCTAGGTAGGGCAGTCTGACCTTCTAGCATAGTCTCTTTGGCAAAAAAATTGTGATTCCAGTGTGTGGGGGGGATGTCCTGGAGGCTTGGTGGCAGCGCGTAGGCTGTTTCTGGGGCTGCAGCATGCTTTCCGACACGTATGTACTTCAGGAAGGCTGGTGGCCAGAGCGCGTGGGGTTGGGCCAGGCCCCCACCCAGGGCAGAGCGACCTTTGTGCCGAGGGCGCTGGGTCTGTGCCACCCACCTCCACCCCCGCAGCCTGGCCCCCCACGCAGGCCACCACTGTCTTGCACTAGGAGCCGCTCTAGTCTCTCAGGAATTTGCTCGTTACTTTTACTTTGTAAATAAAGCTTCCTGGTTCAATATCCAACCATCGGGAGCTGGCTGTGTGGTTTCTGTTGGGTGTGGCTAACTGCCCCCATGACGGGGCAGAGCCTGGCCCCTTCTGTCCCCTCCAAGCCTTCGGTTCAGGTCCGTAAAATGGGGGTGCCGATCACCTCAGAGCTGTCGAGAGGCTCAAATACAGGAGGCTATGTAAGCGACCGTGAGGGGCAGGAGAGGGCTGGCTATGGCCGGGGCCACTGCCCTGGTATGAGGGACCCAACTGGAGGTACTGCGGGCAGCCCAGCACCAAGGGCTCTGTGTGTGTGTGTGTGTGTGTGTGTGTGTGTGTGTGTGTGTGTGTGTGTGTTCGGGGTGGAGGGGCTCAGCTCCTCGCTCTGGCCAGGAATCCCAGGACAGCAGAGTTACCCGCTCTGTAATTTCCGAGTCTGGACGGGTGGAGGAATTTCACAGAACGCTCGTGGGCACATCAGCCCGGCCCTCCACAATGCTGAGAGGCAGCCACTTGGCGGTTTGCTCCAGGTTGCACTGCTGTGGCCTGCCAGGCCTGGCCTGGAGCCCCACAGGGCCACCTGCTAACCAGGCTAGCCAAGGAGGTGGCACAGGCTGGGCCCATGCCACAGAGGACAGGATGGCTCACACCGGGGCTGCCTGGGCCTCAGACACCAGCGCACACAGCTCGGCTCACAGTGGGCTCAGAGCACCCGGTTGGGGACCCCTGGCTAACTAAGCTCAGGAGACCAGGACGTTTGCAGCCTGAGGACAGGCGTGGAGGCTTATGTAATTGCGATAACCCAACATTTGCCCACGTCATCCAACCATAGAGTTTTCCTCAGAACATGTGCTGGGTTCTGAGGATGCCAGAAAGTTCTGTGAGACTCTGCCTGTTTTCTGTTTAGCAGCAGATCTCTTTTCAAACAAAATGGCCTATGAATGTCTAGTTCACGAGGCAGGGGAAGGAAGGCTGCTGTGGCTGAAGCTGGGGACGAGGGGAGGTCCCACCAGGCAGCCTTGTAGCACCAAGGCCCAGGGACCCAGCCTCACGTCCCCCATGATGGCCGGGCAGGGGCCAGGGGAGGCTCTGCCAAGCACCATGGTCCCCACATGTTCCCCTCCCCGCCTGAGGGAAGGGCACAGCATGGCCCTGGATGGACCTCCTAAGCGGCCCTTACCTGCCCCCCTCAGATGAGGTCCCGAGCTGGGCTCCATCATCTGCTCCAGCTCAGCTCGCCCAGCTGTGGCCGCCCGCCTTTTGCTCTGGTGTGCCCCCCATGGCAGGGGAAGTACATGGCCCTCTGCAGCCCAAGATTTGCTGGAGGCAGGTCATGCCCCGAGCACAGGCTCTGAGACTCGCTGGGCAGCAGCTCCACTCTGCCCTGCTGGTGGGTCCAGCCCCACTTAACACTTGGGGAGCTTAAATGAGACTCAATGCAAAATAACCACAGTACCACACGAGACGTACAGCATAACCCAGAGTGTGTTAAAAACATCCATCTGCCCGTGGTAAGAGGGCCAAGAGGAAATGCCCTAAATATTCACAGTGGTCAGACTCTGAGTGACTTGGTTCTTTTATGCTTTTCTATTGAATTTCCTATAGCAATACATACTGCTTTTATAATCTAAAAGAAGAATCAAAACTTAAGAAAAAAAATGAGATCCTGCAAAGTGCTTGATATGTTTATTATCTAAACTAGGACAGTTCTCAGAGGGGAGGCCGGAGCCGTGGATAATCACACCGGGGCGGGAGGCGGAACCACGAGCAACGGGCCCCCCCTGCACCCCCCCTTCTGTGCTCTTCCCACCTGCCCACCCTGCGAGGGGTGGGAACAGCCCAGCAGGACGGGACTCGGCCCTCCTGAGCCTGAAGGACCTCATTCAACTGACCTGGACGAGAGGAGTGCTGAAGCGAGCCAGGCCGGGGGGCAGGCGCACACTTGGTGCTGAGGACCAGGCCCCCCAGCCTGGCTCTTTCCAGCCCCGCTGTGGCCGATGGCACCTTCCATCTCTGGCCTGAGCACTCTGCCCGCCCCGCTTGGGGGTACGGAAGGAGGTCTGCAGCAGCCAGGACCAGGCAGCTGGAAGGACCCCGGGCGAGGAAGGGCCTCCTACTTCTGGGCAGCACCGTCACCTCGGGTGGCAGCAAAACGGGTCACCATCCCCAGCCAAGCGACAGGGCACCCTGTGTGGCCTGGTCCCTGGCAGGACTCAGTGCATGCCTGCTGAGGAAAGATGAGGCAGCTGAAGCTCAGGAGTTACACTGCCCCCCAAATTTAGGGCTGGACCTCAATTCCAAGGAACATTTCGTCTCTAGAGGGAGGACACCACTGTGCTGACTCTCAGGAAAGCCACAGCCACTGGGGCTACCTGTGGCCACCGCCACGGACTGTGGAAGGGACTAGAAAGGCATGGATGCAGGACAGACCTTGATTTGGGCCTCAGCTCTGCCCTGACCCACAGTCAGCCTGGAGGTGAGTCGGCGAGGCCCTTTCTCTCTGCACCTCAGTTTCCTTATCTGTAAAAGGAGATGACATCACCCCCTTCACTGAACCCACAGCTTGGGGAGGGGGCGCCGTGTCCTCTGCCCAGACAAAGCAGGGGCCTGCACCTGCTATCCCTGTGACACCCTCCCTGTCCCCACTCCTGGGCAAAAGCTTGCCAAAGGCAACCCCGCTTGTCCATGGAGAGAGAGCACCAGCCTCCTTCCTCCAGACGGGCGCTGCCCGGCCGCAAGCTCCTGCAGAGGGCAGCAGGCAGGGGCAGCTGCGAAGGGAGAACGAGAAAACAGGAAACCACCAGGCAGAAGGCTGAGGGCTGTCCCCGCGCAGTCGCCCTCCACGCCCTGGCGAGCTGCAGCCCTGTGCACCTGCTGACCAGCCACCAGCCAGGCCACCATGTGGGTCCCCAACAAGCTGTAATTAGGGAACTCGATCAAAGAGCAGGCGCTTTGCATGTTTTCCAGCTCACAGGCCAACGCCCCTCCTCCCTTGCAGGCCAGTGACACCAGCCTGGTGGCCTCCCATCTTGATGAAAAGACTCACCACCGGTCCCTCCTAATCCTGATCTAATGGGGCTGGTCAGGGGGCAGGGCCTGGGGACCACAGTGAGTCCAGTGTTCTGTTATCGTCTGCCTTTGTTTTGTGTAAACCCTGTCACGGAGGACCCGGGACTTTTTCTATGAGATGTTATCTCCCAAGAATGATTTGGAGAGAAACAGCGCAATCAATTAACCTGTTCAGCTGATCGATTTTGAAACCTGAACAGGGCTAGGAGGGAATTCGGGAAACGCATGGCTCCCCACCGCTGGTCATGGGGCTGCCCTGGATGGAAGGCCGATATTTGTCCCCTGGTCCACCTTGTCCCCTCGGAACCTAGGGCTGTTCACTGTCCCCTCGGGGCCTCAGTTTCCACATTTGTTACACGAAGGAGTCGGGCAGGTGACATGTTCAGGGCCTGGCCCTCTGCTGTTGCAGCACATGGCAGGACCAGGGACCAGGCGGAGCCCCTGCCCACCGCCTCCCAGCCCACGGCCCTCAGCCGTCAAAGCCTGAGTGGGCTGCAGGTCAGAGTAGCTTATTTAACCGTTAGTTTCCACACACTGGGCAAGCCACACTAAAGCCTATAGAGTTCTGGCTCCAGAAAGTACCCTCTGTGCCTGCGACCTTGAGCCCAGAGGTTGACGTTCTTGTTCTACAGCCCCTGGTCTTCCAAGTGCCCTTGGGAGCTGCCCCCAGCTTTTGGCTCCAAAGGTGACTTCTGGGGACAGGAAAGGTGGTGGGCTGGCATTGTGTGGGGTGAGGGGAGGGCAGGGGGTTAAGCGGCCACGCTGACTGTGGGTGGGGGTGGGGCTCGCTGGGCAGTCCCAGGGAAGCTGGCTCAGCTCGGGGCTGCATGGACTGCACGAGAGGCCCCGTTTCCACCAGGCTCCTCACTAAATGCAAAGAGTGCAGATGGAGAGGCAACGGGCAAATGGCCCGGGTCCAGTTAGATGGAGCACTGCCAGGCCCAGGTGCACGGGGCACGTGCACTGGGGACATTTCCAGAGCACCTCCAGCCCACGCCCAGAGCGTTTCCTTCCCTGGAGGTCTGTTCCGCTCCCCTGACTTCACTAGGGCAGCACCAGCAGGCCATCAGGGAGGGGACACGCTCTGTCTGAGAGACTGGGGGACATGTCTGGGTGGAGGGAGGGAGGGGTCGGCAGAGGGAGACAGAGGAAGGGCTGGCCAGCTCAGGCCCAGGGACAGGGCAGCCCACAGCTGTCTGGCTGTGCCCTCTTGCCTGCCTGTGGAGGACAAAGGATAGGGCCTTGCCGGTCCAGGCACCGAGGGAGGGCTGCCAGGAGGCGGGGGGCCCTCCCAGGTCTGTCACTTGTCTGCGTGCTGCAGCAGCAGGTCCACGGCCTCCGCGAGGTTGTCCACGTACCCATCAGCCTTCACTTCCGGATGGCGCTCGTCACTGGGCCTGGAGAGCAGAGCAGTGGTCAGCTGGCAACCCCATCTTAACTCGCCTGAAGCTGCTGCCTTCCAATATCTAGCAAGGCCAGGTCAGGCAGCCTGTGACCAACAGCTGTCCCCCTCCGTTCCCACGCCCCAGTCCCGGCCACCCTCCCTCAGGACGGACACACACCCTTCCTGACTGTTCCGTCTACCTGGACACCCCGCCCCCCCCAAACCACTTCCCCGCTCAGAGCCCTGTGGTGGTGACCAACGGCCCTGCTCTGTCTGTGCTGCCCGCATCACACCCTTGAAAGTAGGGCCATGAGCTCGACTGTGGTCTGAGCACCTTCCTGCCAAACCCCGGAGGGCCCACATGCCACCTGCTCAGCCCTCTGAGGCCAGTCCTGCCCAACAGAGGGCTCCTGGCAAAACCGCTCTCTGTCTGGAACTTTGGGGGCTAGAACATCCCAAAGCTTTCATACATTCCCTAGATTTCCAGCTGGAGGCTGAGGACAAGGGGATGAACCACGTGATAAAAGCAGACACCCATGGGGTCCATGCAGCATCAAGGGGACCCCACATGGGGGCTTTGTGGAGGAGGGGCTGTCAGCTGACTCCTGAAGTAGAGTGGGGCGCCACGTGACACACGGGAGGTGGAGGGGAACTGTAATGGGACTGGAGCTCGGGGTGGGCTCCTGGGTACATCCAGGGAATCTGGGTAGTAGGAGGGAAAGCGGGGGGACCTTGTCCCGGGGGTCATGGGCAGCCTGGGGGTGCTGTGAGCTGCAGAGTCAGGTCCTGGTGACCAGAAGGACCCTCCCCAGTATTCATGAGCTGGATCTTGGCAGGAATCGGGGCCCCCTCTGCAACCCCACACCGCGAAGGGCCCGCTGCCCCCATTCCCCCAAGGCCTGACAGCACCCTCCCAGTAGCCAGGCCACCACCTCGGAAGCTCCCAACCTGGTCTGGAAGGAAGTGGCTGAAGTTGGCTCTGACAGCATCCTAAAAGCCAAGTTGTCCCTTTGAAGGGTCTGGTTTCTGCAAAGCACTTCACCCTGAATGGGCTGTCATGGGCAAGGGCACCTCTTCCTCTAAAGAGTTTTCAGCCCAGCGGCCTGGGGGCCACCTCCCCAGGGGCTGCTGAGAACAGGCGTAGGGGCAACTGGCAGCCTTGGGAGGGGGGAGGGCAGCGTGGACACTGCTTATGACTGAGGGCACACCTTTGGCTCTCCCCGTCCCCCGCCCCTGCCTGAGGACCCCCACTCACTCACCCACCCTCTTGTGTGGGCTGGGGCCACTTCCCCTCTGGCTGCAGTCCTGAGGCACCGCCTTCACATATCTCTCATCACCTTCACCTTAGGTCCTCAGGGAAGAGGCAGGTACCCCCATCTTACAGGTGAGGAAATGGGGGCTCAGAGAGGTTCAGAGACTTGCTCACGGTCACACAGCAGGGGCTGCAGAGCTGGGATCTGACCCAGCTCTTCTGACTCCTGGCCATACTCTGGGTGGCAGAGCCTCTCAGAGTACACACGACTGCTGGACGTTCCCTCCACAAAGGGCCCGGGTCGGAAGTGCCCACTCCAAGCACCGAGACCACCTACAAATGCCAGTGCCCATGGGCATCGCTCTCTGCTTCCCAAGTGTGGCCACCCTGCAGCTTATGAATCAACATACTCACGGGCAGGTGCCCAGAGGGCGTGTGACTCCCCGAAATGTGAGGCCCCACACCATGAGCCTTGGGGCAGACAGGGGACAAGTGCACGAGGACCCTCCCCACCACCTGCCAGATTGGCAACTCAGTAAGAGTAACTCTCGTGTCCGTGGAGGTATTTTAAGGGATGATTCTTTCGTTCTTGCCATCACAGACACACACAATCTAGTAAATGTGGGAATTTACATTATCCTGCATCAGTGCTGAAATACATACTTGTCACTCTCAAAAGGTGGCATGGCCACTATGGAAAACTATTGGTACCTACTCGTGACCTAGCCATTCCATTCCTAGGTATGCACACCACAAAAGTGCCACGTCTTCACCAAAAGACATGTCTAGAATGTTCCAAGCAGCTCTAGTTGTAAAAGCAAAAAGATGAAAGCTGCACTCATGGCCCTCGGCAGGACAGAGGGGCAGGCTGTGGTGTAGGCACACCTGGGGACAGTGCAACAATGCACCCAGAACGAATTACTCCACGCTGCAATGTCTGTCCAGCGTCACCCACGGGCATCACGATGGGCACAAGCAGCCTGGCTCATGGGACCCACACGGGACGACCGGTTCATAACAAGTTCTGGAACAGGCACACCCAGCCTGTCCAGTGCAAGGGTCAGGAGATGGTTGCTCCTTGCGGGGATATGAGGCCGGAGGGCGAGGCCTGGCACAGGCGTTCAGCACCGTTACCGTGACTACTGAGAGCTCTGTTGGGGAGCACGCCGTGTGCCGGGGCTGGGGCTGGGCAGGGAGATGGAGCAGGACACACAGCCGGGACCTACAGATACACAACAGTATGTGAGGTACAGGGAAGACAGAGTGGGGGGGCGGGGGTGTGGTAACCATGGGCGCTGGAGTGGGAGGAGCAGGCGGGCTGGACCAGGGCCCTTTGGAGACATCCCAGTGGCCTGAAGGAAGTGGCCAGCGGCTGGCTCCAGCGCTGCGGCCCAGCCCCTGCTCTCACCTCTTGCTGGGCCCATGTGTAGGAGGCTCGAGTCCCTTGTGATCCTGGACATGCTCTTTCAGGCTCCCTTCAGCTACCCCTGGGGCCTGAGGGCAGCTTCGGAGCCCCACTCACAGACGTGGTGGGGGAGCTCCTGCCCCCACTTAGGAGGGGCTGTCGGGGGCAGTGGCACAGCCAGGCAGGCTTTAGGCTGTGCCTGCCCGGGTGCCGACACGCCTGCCCTGCTCTGGGAGCCCTCCCACCATTCCCGTCAGAGTCCCAACTTTTCTCTCCACAACGGTGAGGTCAGAAACGGAACAAAACTTCTGCCAGCAAACACCCCCACCCCGATTCATCCCCCCAAGCCTCTGGGCAGCCGCCCCCAGGACTCTCCTCCTCAGATACCTTCACTGGACCCTCGGGTCAGGTTTACTGGCCAATGAACTCAACCCCAAGTGAATCCGCCCATAAAAGAAATGCTTTGTAATGAGATTCTAGCCAGCCCCGCTCAGCATACGGTACCTAGCCGAATGGCGTGCATGGCTAATTATGTTTAATTACATATCATTTAAATTCGAGACTCCATTAAAAGAAAGGATTGCATTAGCAGCCGGCCGGTGTTTGCCAACACAGAGGAAATCGTGGACTTTTATGTGTTAATTACACGACGCTGCCGTGGGCTGCGGCTCTCACGGAGGGACTTGTTCTGGGTCCGCCCGAAGGCCCAAAGGCCCGGAAGCAGCTACGTTGGCCCGGTGGACCCCACTCCATGCTGGCCAGTGCCCTGTGGCCCATGGAGCCTCAAAGACAGCACACTCCAGAGGCTAAACCAAGAAAACCAGCAAAGACATGCCCTTGGCAGTAGGAACAGAGCAGAGGGGGTGACGGGGCAAGGGGCCGAGAGAGCCCACTGGCCCTGCCAGGACAGAGCACGACACGTGGGCGGGGAAGGGCGAGGGGGGCTGAGATGGGGCGGGGACGTTGTGGGGAGAGACAGACAGACAGAGGGACCCAGGGCTACACAGAGAGGAAGGCGGAGGAAGGGAAGCGTGACAGAAACAGAAAGAGACGGAGGGACGGACGGATGAGAAACGGAGTCAGGGAGACAGGCAGAGAGAGGAGGTGGAAATGGAAACAGAGAAAAGAAGGTGGGAGAGAGCAGGGGACAGAGACCCACGGAGGGAGAGGGGGCAGGGAAACAGGAAGGAGGCAGAGAGACAGACTGTAGGCAGTTTGGGGCTGGGTGGGAGAGACACCAGAGTCTCAGTCAGAGAGAGGGCAGCACCCACTGTGTCCCCGATCGCCCCTCTGTCTTGCACCCCACGGGCTCAGCTGAGGCTTGGCGGAGGTCCCTCCCCTGCCCCAGGCCCACACAGAGTGGGCTCCCTGCTCTGCTCCCCACGAGCTGTCTCTTCACCTCCCTGCCCTCAGTTTCCTCATCTGTAAAGTGGGCATATGACTCGGCTCTCAGGGCCACTCTGAGCATGAAGGGAGGTGCGACAGAACGCACGTGGTCGGGCCGGCCGAGTGGCTCAGGTGGTTAAGAGCTCGCTCAAGAGAGTGAGCTCTGAGCAACAGGGTCACCGGTTCAATTCCCGGCCTGATCTGAGCTGCTGCTGAGCTGCCAACAAGCGGCAGAATGGCTCAGCTAAAAAAAAAATATATAGGTCCTGCTGCTCTTCAGACATTACTGCTCTCCCACACCTCTGTCCATACTGTGTTCAGGAATGGCATGGTCACTAGGTCCTGCTCCACCTGCAAACTCCTACTCATCCTTCAAAACCTCACCCACTTATTCCTATGTCCAACTCTAACTTGTCCCCTGCCCCCCCCCCATACCATTCTGCTGGTGCCCCACTGACGTGGGCTGCCTAGATGGAGGGGCGAGGCTTCCTGCCCTGAGTGGTCACCCACGCAGGCCTGGCCCAGCACAGGCACCCAGGAAGTGTCTACAGTCGAGTGAATGAACAAAGGCCTCCACCCAGGCAGGGTGCTGCCTCTCATTAGCTATTCCTCCCCCTCATGTCCTGTGAGCCGAGGGAAAGAGGGAGCCACAGAGGAGAGAACAAGGCCAATTTGTGGGTGGGCCTGGACCGTGTCACAGGGACTGTCTTTGTACCGGCTGAAGGAAAATGGCAGCCAGATTTCCAGGCAGAAGCCCAGGAAAGTCAGTCTCCATGCCGCCTCCCTCTCCCGGGCCCACAAGGGCCAGCGCCTCATCCCTGGCCTGACCCGCCAGGGGGACACAGGTACAGCGTCTCCCTGAGGTCTTCAGGCGTCAGTGCCACCTCCCCACCCGGGTCTGCTCCAGGTTAAGGCCACACCGAGGTTCCTGAAACCAGAGGCCCCAGCATTGACCACACGGGGCGGGGGG